AACGATAATGTCTGACCAAAGCACCTAGTAATTGTGTGTCAGGTACTCGTTCTCAGTTTCTGATGCCATTCCTGTCCGACCTGCTCTGACGCCCCAAGGCACCAACATTCTCCCTCAGGTCTCTTGATGACTCAAACCCACAGTAGTCTCCAGCTGGGCAGAGTTTTGTTATCTCAGCTTCTAAGGCCACAGTAGTTACCACCAGTGCTTTACAACCTCCCACGAGGGGGGTGGGTTAAGGAAAGTTGGGTCTCTTAGTGGAAGATGAAGGGCGGGGTGTTATTTTGAGGTCCTTGCTTGCGTATGGAGGTGTGAGTTGGACAAAAACAAGGAGGTGGGTTGTATTCACATACGCTGATGGCTCATATCCCACTAAATAAACTGTTGCCACTACATGTGATTAAAGCTGCTCTGCATGCACGTATGTGTGTTTAAAGTGACTGTGTGTATGAGAGCCGGTGAGAGGCAAAGCCAGCATGTGTGTGTATACGCATGAAAATATGTGTGAAGGAGATAGTGAGAGATGACAGCGGGAGGGTGTGTGTCTGTGTGTGCACATGTGGGTGTGATTCCTGCCTCTCTGTCAATACATGAACTGCGTGACTCTTCAAAAGGTTCTTGGATGACGCACATCACAACAGGCAGCGCTCAGTTCAGCAGGGGCCTCAGTGGCATCTCCAGATATGATAATTTACAAACTGTGAAACCAACATACTCTATTCTTGTGAGAGGATGCATTCCATCTCAAATATAGTAACCTAAGTTGTGCATGAGAAAAAAAAAAGGTATGTACGTTCAATCAGGAGAGACAGACTGAGTGAACGTGACAATGTGAAAGTTATTCGGTGATTAGGCCCATCGTGATGATGAGGTGGTAGGGGGGTGGGTGAAGCTGCAAAGGCACTGAAATCCTGCCTAAAGGAGTTTAGACACTGGTGTTAGTGAGATGAAATGATCAAGAAGAAACTGGGGATCGGGATGAGAGGAGGGGAAGATTTCTGCTGAGCTGAACTGGGCCAGGATCGGATGAGTAGGCCGTGAATGGGGTGGAGAAGGGCCCCATTCTTACTGAAATGACAGCTGGCATCAGAGGAGAGAAGATTTAAAGTGTGATAGTGACTTCATGATTGGCTGAGCTGATCATGGTACATCCCATTGAAAAACTATGTGAGAACACCCATAATCAGCTGTTTGGGGCTGCAGGAGAGAGAGAGAGTGTATGAGAGAGAGAGGGCTTTGAATGAGTGACGCATAAGAATGGTTCAACTTCCTGGTTCAACTTATGAATTTAGTGTCAAAAATTCCTGTGTTTCAGTGTTTATTTGTTTCAGATTTTCATGAAATCAAACCCAATTTTTGATACTAGTTACTGTACGGTAATCTTTTCAGCAATATTCATTCAATGTATTTATGCTCAGTTATTAACAAACAAGACAATGGTCATTTTTATTGACAGGCTGCACACCTCTGTCTAAGGTAACAAACTTTATTGTGCCCTGCTGTTGTGTGAAAACCTATTCACACCATAGGCTGCATGAAATCAGATTGCAGTTGCAATAATTTTTTTTGACTTCTTTATTAAAACAACATGAGTTTTTTGGGTACAATGTAAACAGACGGACACCCAACTGCTCAAATCAACAACGGATTGAAATCTTATGGAAATGTGTGCTTTCAGTTCAATCAAATTTTCAATCAAATGTTTTCATATATCATCATATAGCTTTTACATAATCTGTATCTGTGAATTCTTTCATATAAAGGAAAATAAGCATTGACAGAACAATATGTATGTATAATCTTCTTTGGCTCAATAAATTTTAAGTTTTAGTTTTAGACTGCAGCCAAAATGTGGCTTGTTATTGCTAGAGTACTTCTGTTATGTAACTTTCATGGCTTTTTTTCATTGCACAAGATCACACACAAACAATAACACACTGGCTCTGCAATTTTCATACCATAGTAAATGGCTCATTTCACAGGAATGTGCTGTAAACTGACACAGAAAAGTTTAATTTCACACCTTACAATGTGTTCATGTAAGTCTGTTTATTTATTATTTATGTATTTCACATAATTATTTTTTATTTGTATGTTTATAATTATATAGTGTTATGATCTGGCTCAAGTGGCCACAACTAAAGGGAGACACATAATGGCAAAAGAAAATATGTTTATTTAAACAAGAATAAACCAAATTAAGAATGACCCCAAACAGGTGAATATTCGACAATTTGATATGCAGAGTCTGATTCAAATCCCAGTCTCACAGTCGAATCTTTGAATCTTTGCAGAGGAGTTATGATGTGAGGATCATACCATTTTGGCTATATGGGGCTGCTCAATGTCTGATTTTACATAGAACTATTTTCTCCCAATAAGTAAATATACAGCCTATATAACACTGTAAATAAACATGCTTCAGGTCTTGGCCAATCAGAAGACAGTGGGCTTTGAGAGGGAGGGCCTTAAAGAGACAGGAGCATCTACAGCTTATTTCAGACAGAGGCTGAAATGAAGGCCTACATGAAGACGCAGTACGAGACAGAAATTAATTTTTTTTAACTTTGAATCATGCAAAGCTGCCACACAGTACACAGTAAAACTACCAGTGTTAAACAATCAGTGTTACACTACATTTACTCTTAAGGAGTTGATTTAACAACAAATAGTGAAAGATACCCCCTAGTGTTGGTGAAAATTATCAGAGTTAAATTGTCTCGTTAACTTTACTCTGTTAAGCTCCGCCCCTCAATCTAACCAGATCACACTTGAATTTCCTTGTGGTCGTAACCATTTTCTTCTACATCGCACCGAATGGTAAGCTCTTTTAAGTAACATGTTAAGACAATTTTCTGTGAATAAATGTGTTAATATTACTGTATATGTTGTTGTTTTATGAACTTTGTGTAATGTGATCCGTTCAAACTCCGAATCGAACAACTTCGCAGTGAGTTCATCTGATGGAGAGATATTTTTTTCGTCACAATGTGGTAATAATAAATGTAGAATGGTGTAAATGATCTTATATAATTTGTATTTCTGTTGGTTACAGTAGGTATTGTTATACAGATAATTTGTATATTGTTATTTTTAAACGATGAATTGTCTGCATTGTTTAAATTCAAAGAAGACCTAACGTTAGTTTAAAATACTGGTGACTATACAAACTGTTGCACCAGAATGTATTTAACCTTACTTATTTATTTGTTATGGGCACACAACGCGTTTCCACTGTCATTTGTACAAAACTGTGTTTCTTATTACAGAGCATGTTGGTTAAGGTGAAACTTGGGGATGGCCAAAAATTTGTTAAAATATCCGAGCTGAGCCTGAAGGAATTTTTGTCTGCTGGTAAGAAAAATATATACTTTTTAAAGCAATAAATCGTTTAAATATCATGTTCTTGATTCAAATGTGCGTTTTTTATGCTGACCCTGAGCAGCTGTGTTAAACACATTCAGTCTTTTCAAACACGCATCCATCTAATCCTTGTTTCTGTGTTGTAATTGCAAATATTAAAATTAATCACTGAAGTACTGGGATAAACGTTTAATTTCTTGATATAAACACTGGTATAAACATGGTATAAAAATCGAGCAAATCATCTTTTTACACTTCACATTAAGATTGTACCAATTACATCGTTATGCCACAAGGTGACGCCAAGAGACTGGAATTATGTATTTGTTCTTGAATCATTCATTCCAAAGATTAATTCAAAAGGCTGATTCATTAGCAATGAAACATTTGATTTTATTAACCCTTTCATGCGTACGATCACACCAGTGTGATTAGAACGGTCAGTGCATCACATGATCAACTGCTAAATTCAAACCTGATTCAAATGTGCTTTCGCACCTTAGCTGGCGCTGAACCAGAGACAGACACACTCAGTGCTGTCATATCACTACTATTCAGTGTTTTCAACCACATAATGTTTATTTTTAGGTTTCAGACATTTAAATACGTATTAGCCAAAAAATGATTTTGAGTTTGTAAAATACACAATGATGTCTATGGAAGCGGCAATAATAATCCTTTCCATTATAATAAGACGACACGTTTTATTCATATCAGATACACATTGCGTAAGTAGCTTTACATTTTACCCTATTCTTCTCCCAGTTCACCGGCCACTTACTTTCATGAATTTCGTGAGTAGGTGAGGAATTGATATGTTGTAAACTAACATGGCGCGCCCATCGCACATAGCTCTACTAACGTGATCGTTATAAAGTTGTTTAAACAACAAAATGCATCCACTTGCACATATTTGACAATTGGAATATCAGTGTTTCATGTTATAGGTTATCATTTGTGAATATTTTGAATAAAAAAGGAAAAATTACATAAAAGCAGATCATCATTCATTCAGGGCTGTGACAAGCAATGACACGTCACCATGGAATTATTAAAGTGACAGGTTCTAAATAACGGTCGCCTAGAAAAAGGCATGCTGCGGGGTCAGTTAGAATATTTTAAACGTACGTGTTCATTCTAATAAAGAAAAGATAGAAAATAAATATTTGTGTGTAGTAAAGTGGTTAGAAAAAATGGCCGATCACGTGAAATTCGGCCAATTCCGGTCACCGGCCTATCGATCGGTGCATCTCTAATTGGTTGGTATTTGGTAATTGTATTTTATAATACTGTCACATCTTACATTTGCTCTGATGTTCAGAGTTACCAACAATTAACTGATCATCCGTGTAATGTATACCCTTTCTCATTAGTTTGGCATACATTTTTTTTCACAGCTTTTTTAAAGTTTGGTGTCCCAACTGTACCCGAGAATGTGAAGGTTGTTGATGAATCGGGGACTGAGGTGGATGAGGATGTTTTTGAGGATATAGTTAAAGATCCCTCAGTTGGTGTTCTCGCCATAAAACATGGTGCAGGTTTGTATGTTTTTATTTACTTTCTATCAATTTTCTCAGTGCTTGCATATTAGTATCATGAAGACTTTTACCACCCTATATTCAACTAGACTTGGAATCTGCCTCTCCACAAGCCTCTCCTGTGCAGTTAAATGTGTCCCTGTCTTCATCGACTGACTCCACTGACTCACAGGATACAGTAATTATTGAAGAAAGCTCTTCCAGTAAAAGAATTAGATTAGATGATGAAGCTAAAAAGGTGGGCACCGAAGTTGTAAAATTAATCAATTTGAAATAATAGTCTTTCTTTTTATGATTACATATTTTGTTTCAGGTAATGTTTTGTACTTTAACATGCCATATTTATGCCTTTTTTTATTAAGTTGGTGGAATCCATTCTTGTCCACAAACCTGGTGGGGAGCATATAATAAATGAATACAACCGATTTAAGACTTTGGGCGATGAAACGAGGAGGAAAATGGTGAACATCCTGGCAGCTGACATGACAGAAAAGAATGGGTAATCTGCATATCTTTAACTGGTGTATATATAATCTCTCAATGTAGTTCCATAATTTCTTGTTTTTTTAACCTGTGCTAAAGATAGGTGATTTTATTTATTTATTTATTATTATACAGTACATCACCACCAAGGCAGGTTAAAGAAAAATATGCCAGAGGAATTGTGTCTTTGTTCCCTTACCTCAGTGACCCCTTGTCCAAAAAAGGCTACGTAAGTATCATCATTTTGTTATTATTTTAATTCTGTGTTGACATGTCTTAAATGCTGATGATCACACACACACAATACAGGTGGTGTATTTTGCTCTTGAATTAAGACTTTTTTTTCTCTTTATGTATTTTTGTCTTTCTAAGGAGCATTACTATGATGGTGAGAGTGGCACTGGGTACTTGGCATGGAGAATCAAAACTATACAAAGAGGCCTGGCTAAAGAACGAAGAGCATCATTTGATGGTACAGAATGAAATTCGGAAATCACCTTTTTTACCATTTTTTTCATAGCTCATTGTGCCATCTATCACAGTTTTGAAGTTTTGTTGCTATTGAGTTGCCATAACTTCAAGAAAAACATGATTCAGTAGTGCAAAAAACTTCCAACCACCAGTGATGTTGGAGAACTCCTGCTAGCAGCTGAATCTCCGTCTGATGACTCGGAAGATTGCGTTAATTTTGGTAAGATGTTTAAAATAATTTAATACTTAGGTAATTTTTGTAATATTCATTTAAAATACTACCTGGCCAAAAAAAGTCGCTGTTTGGATTTAAATAGTCAAATGCTTAAGAGTATGATTGGATCATCATTGCAGTGATTATTTTTCTGTCGTGTTATATGTTTGGGAACAGTTATTTTAAACGCATCTGCTGTTGCACAACTAAATGTTGCTGGATTAAGTCAATCTGCTATAAATGGTTTTGTTTCATCTATGGAGGAAATGGTTTCTGAGATTCATAGTCAGGCCCAGGATGCAGCCTTGCTCTGCCTGCCTTCACAGGACAACGCTACTAAAAGAAAGCTAGAACATTCATTTCAAAACTTGGAAAATCCATTTACTTTGTTAAATTCTGAAGCCAAGCGAAAGAGACTCTTTATGGAAAAGTGGGGAATTATTGAACCAAGTGAAATCGTGCTTGGCACAAGATTTGACAGCAGGAGAAATAAAACTACAGGAATATTTGATCAGGTTGTTGTAACTGATGAATTTGCTTATATTCCCATTTTTGAAACACTAAAGGCAATTTTACAAAATCCGCAACTTACTGATTTGTTTAAACCCAGGCATGTTCCAAAAGAAGGCATTTATGTTGACTTAAGTGATGCAGCATATTTTAAAAGTAATACTTTATTTTCTACAGAAAAGGATGCCTTACAAATTCAGTCATTTTATGATGATTTTGAGACCGCTAATCCTTTGGGATCCAAAAGGGGCATACACAAATTGGGTGCTATCTATTTTACATTAAGAAATTTCCCCCCAGTTTTTAACTCCTCATTGTTGAATATTCATTTATGTGCCCTCTTTCATGCACAGGATATTAGGCGCTATGGTTTTAATTCTATACTTGAGCCTTTAGTTAATGATTTTAAAGTACTTGAGATTGAGGGGGTTAAGAATCCAGTAACTGGAAGTTGTATCAGGGGTACTATTGTTCAAGTCACTGGAGATAATCTGGGCTTGCACGGCTTGTTTGGGTTTCTCGAGTCATTTGGGGCTCGATATTGCTGTCGTTTCTGTCTTCTTGAGAAAGATCGCTTTCAGTCTGTGTTCTGTGAAGATAATCCTGAGTTTGTACTAAGAACATCTGAGATGCATGCTCTGCACTGTGAAACTTTACAAACTAATTCTACACTACCCCATGTTTATGCTGTCAAACGGACATGTTTGTTAAATTCACTCAAGTATTTCAACACAGCCAACAATTTTTCAGTGGATATAATGCACGGCATTCTAGAAGGAGTTGTTCAGCTAGAGGTAAAACTTGTTCTGCAGTACATTCAGTCTAATTTTCTGAGCACTGATGATATTGCTGGTAGAGTACATGCTTTTGACTATGGTTACAATCAGCAGAAGAACCGTCCTCCAGTGGTCAAATTGTTTGATGGAAGCAACGATTTGTGTTTAAATGCAATCCAATCTTGGTGCTTGTTGCGCAATATGCCCCTATTATTTGGTGATTTAGTCCAAAGAGATGATAAACACTGGCATCTCTTGCTTTTACTTTTGCAAATTGTCAACATTGTATTTTCACCAGTCCTAACAGAAGGCATGACCATTTATCTTAATTTTTTAATAATTGAACATTCAAAAAAATTTTTCCTGAAAGAAATCTTTTGCCAAAGCATCATATAATGATACATTACCCACAGTGTATAAGAAAAATTGGACCAATTCTTCACACGTGGTGCATGCGTTATGAAGCTAAACACAAATTTTTTAAAACGCAATTAAAAAGTTTAAAAAACATCACCAAAACACTAGCCAAAAAGCACCAATTTTGTATTGCGACGTACTGGGAGTCTTTTAGCCAGTACAGATTGTCTCTTGGCCCAGGAAAAATGGTAGAACTCTCTGAACTTAAATGTGGCCAAGAGATCGCTTCCAAACTAGGAGTGGGAATGTCAGAAACTGTCTATTCTGTAAAGTGGATCAAACACCACGGCACCGAGTATCGCCCTGACTTTATTATCTGTACAGAAGTAGCATGTGAGATGCCAGTGTTTTGTAAGATCAAGACTATTGCTGTGAAAGACGAAAATGTGTTGTTGTGTGGAACACTGATGGAAACTGATGACCATTACCATGTATTTACAGTCAGACTGCATCCAGACCGAGTTTTTAAGGTAGTGAATATTAATGAGCTGTGTTCTTTCAAACCATTTGATCTCCAGATGAAATATGGTACAACAGATTCTGTACTGCATGTAGTTCCGTATTGCCATTTAATGCAGATGTGATGTATTTTTGTTAATGTATGAGTTTTTCCTGAGCCTGAATGTTCATTGTTGTTTTAATAAATGTTTTAAATGTGACAGTTGAAGTTGTTTTCTTTGTTTTGAAAACTTGTTTTTAGAGTTAATTTGACATTGTGTAAGATTAATTGTTTTACTGTATTAACACCACAAAGGGAAATACTGACACTTACTCATCTGTTGCACCACAAATGGGTTTTAAGGATTTTTCACTATTAAAAATTTAAATAAACTCTACATTAGTGAAAAATTAACACCAATAAGAGTTCATTTCTGATTTGTGTTAAACTGTGGTAACACCAAACAAAGTTAATTTCCCCTAGTGTTAAACTGTGGTAACACTTTTCAGTGTAGAGCAGTGTTGAATTTTTACTCATAATAGAGTTAATTTTACTCTGAAAATTTAACACCATGACTAGAGTCAATTTATCACCAATTCTGAGTGGGACCAAATACAAGTGTTAAATTTAACTCTTATAGAGCTAATTTAACACTGCAATATTTACTGTGTAGTCACAGAACTACAATATTGGACGGGAAAGACAGTATAATAGGTCTCCTTTAAGGCTCAATCAGACTACACGACTATCAGCGTCGGAAGATCGCCGTGCTGTTCACACTACACAACTTGCCGTCTTGTGACGGGAGTCTTGAAGTCATTGTGGCATTCACACTACATGACTGATAGTAGACAGGGGGTCACACACTACACGAGCTGACAACAGCTCTGTCACCCGATGCTGGTCTCCAAACCACGTTTTGTCAAGAAAACGCATATGAAATGAAAAACGGGAAATGACGAGAACCTGCACACAAAACAGCTGTTTGTTATTATAAAGACAAATAATCTGGATGAAAGAATGGGTTAGCACACGCAGGTAGCAGGGATTGTCAGTGCTGCAGAGAGAGCTGGAGGTGTGTAAAAAGTGTTTTGCAGTGAAAAAGTAGCTGCCTGCTCTGCCAGCTGTATACTCTCATTGGCTGGATGTAGATGTCGAGTCGGCCGACTTCTCCAGATATTCGGCATGCTAGATATCTGGCTGGAATCTGCGATGTGTCTAGGATTGCCACCTTCAATAAAGAAAAATAAGGGACGCATGCTGCAGCGGGGGTCACACCCCTCTGCAACGACAGACCTGATGGTGTGCCAGTGGTAGTATATCTTAACTTAAAACATGTTTTCAGGAAAGTATTAAGATTGATACCAATGGACATTATATTAAGCTATCTGCTACTGAAATCAGTGTGAACAGATTAACTCACTCTCTCTATCACAACTCAACAGACTAGTGGTCATATTGTCATAGCTGTGTATTCAGCTATGATAATATGACCACTAGTCTAATAAATGTGATAGGGTGATTGGCAGGCTTTTGGCCTAGTAATGCCATAATCAGTTGCAACCTCTTAGGGAAGCTTCAGAAGCAGGCACAGACCTGTTGCTCTTTAAGAGGTGATTTACAGAGACCACTCAGGATCTCTCTATAGACATTGTGTTCCAGTGGGGTTAGGGAGCAGGTAGGTCTTCTATAAGGTATGCGTCAAGGCTGACAATGTTTTAACTTTTGTGAACATGTTTTAATTTGTTTTCATCACAGGCAATTTAAGCCACCTGTCGTCCAGACCCTGTATGCTGCATAGCCTGTCATGCTAAATCACAGCAGAGAACGCACTGGAGGTTGATAACCCTGAGGTAAAAATATGCTATATGCAAGTTTACTTGTTTGTGTTTATCGGTGGCCTTTGATAACATGATTTAGCCTACATTGCAGTGGCCCTAAATGTCCGATCGGTTAATGAGGTGGCGTCAGAGATGAGTTGACTTTACCGCATTGTTTGAGGTAAATATCATCTGTAAGGTATTTAGCAGGTATGTTTTGTCGTATGTGTAAAAAAAAAAAACTGAACTAATTCAATTCTTGGATTAGGGTTGCATAGCTGCTATTTTGCCTGCTTGATCAACTGCTGCTGTTTGTGCTTGTATTTTTATGTGGATTCTTACTTTATTAGATTGCTACAGGTGGATGGGCCTTGTAAATGTTTTTGCCAAGTGCTAAGATCTGCTACGAGTGTGGCCATTTTCCCTTTTTTGACTGCGTGATTTCCCTCAGCTTATTAGCAATTTTTTCCCTCTTTTTAGTGTTCTGAAAGAGGTTACCTGTGGTGGCCCACAGGTAACCTGCATGTCTGGCTTCTGTAGATGCTAAGGTGTTTTTAACAGGTTGCTTTTATCCTTTAGCATTTCTGGCAGCATTAGCAACATATTGTTTGTTGTTGTTGTTGTTCTTTGAGCTTGTGTAATGTATAAAATTGCCCGAAAACCTGATTTTTAAATATTGTTTAAATCATTCTTCCAGTCAAAACCCTTGTCTCTGAATCTTATTAAATGTGGGGAACCTATGGCAACTGTTAATTAGATATTTGGGGGTTTGACCTCTCACTGTTTGCCTGGGTTACATAAACATTGGCCAACAGTGTGTGACAGTGAGACCACAAAAAAATTGGATTTGAACTGTATTTTTTTTTTTTTTTACTTAATCAACATGTCCATAACCTACGGTATATAGGGTGGCAACCCTAGATGTGTCAGCGATGTGTCGGGGAGCCGTTTTCATGCATCATTGAGTAGTTCACACATAACGACTGGCAGCCGTGAAAGCACATATGCTTCTTATACTCTTAACGAGCAGCGGGTGCTGCCGTGGGCCCCTCCCCTGTCCCAAAGTACTCACAGGTGGCCCAGTCCTTGCACAGCAGTACCTCCCAGCTACAGTCAGTGCAAGAGATGTTCACCCTGCATCCAAAGGCTGCAAATGAATTGCATATGCGCAAATACGTTTACAACTACATGGGTGTAATTCTAAACATATTTAGACATAGGTGTTTTTTACTCACTTTTTGTCTCTCCCACAATGTTATTCCTCTCTGCTATAGCATCCATCACAATTACATATACATGGCCAATTATGCAAATTAGGCTATGACCTCACTGAGGAGTTGGCAACACTGTGCGTAGAAGAGGGAGAAACAGAACGCCAGCAAAGACGGTGTTGTGCAGAGTTGTGCACAAGCAGGTTCATTCATTTATTAACACTGATGAACCACACAAAGAAAAGTATATCGTTTTTAAACAGTAGGTTACTTGGAATAGAACCACGAGGAACCGCATGCAATTGTAGGAGAGTTGGTGAACATGCACAAGACCGGTGAATGGCAGGCGAGAAGAGCAGAGAGAAATGGTCAACAATAAGCCTCAGATTAGCTGGAAATTTACAGTGTAAATAACAGTGACTAGTGAATAGAGACTGCAGCTTCTCAAGATTAAAGCCCCTCCCCCGACACACACGCTCAGGGCCTTTCTCATTTCCCAAATGCCTCCTCGACTCCTCGAGGTGCATTTTAGGAATTGTGATGTCCTTGAAGATGGTGCACTGAGATTGATTTCCGGGTCACAGGCTCGAAGATCAAGGAGGCGAGGAGGCACAAATTTGGGAAATGAGAAAGGCCTACAGATTCAACTGCTAGTCAACTATAAGCAATCCTTGACAATTCTGATTCAACTGTGTAAATCCTTAGTCAGGAACAGCCCTAATGAGGAGTTACAAATACATGACAGGGCACTGGGCCCAGGTTCCCCGAGTTACTGCAATCAGCCTCAGCTCTTCACCTGAGTTCAGTTTCAGTTTGAGTTTAAAATGATCCCAGTCAGGCTCCAGATAGTTTTGTAAAGAGTTCCACATATCAGAAGAAGCTGTTTATCCAAATGAGGATCCACATAAGGGCACTTTACAATTCCTGCTGGATGCTCCACATTACTGAGGCTGAAGCTCTGAATGGAACCACGAGGTCAGCACCCTCAGTACCCAGAAAGCCTGGCTATGTAGACATTTATAAATTATAAATTAAGCAATTAGCAAATTTTATAAAATGATCAAAACTTAACATATTCAATTTCTTAAAAACCTAGCAGTGATGAGATCTTATTGTCTTCCTGCCAAAGTGGCTTGATGATCATAAGAAGCTTGGTTATTGTAGATGCTGCTTGTGACCAAGAGGTTACACAATAACTTAAATATGTAAAGGTCATAGAAACAATAGAAACTATTTGCTGCATGAAATGGAATTCTCTAATAAGTACATGTAAGTTTGCTTTGCAGGCTTGCTCCCCGTTTTAACATTCTTCTCAAATTTTTAGTGGGAATCTAATATCAGGCCAAAAGCTAGATAGTTAAGTTGGAAGATGGAATCCCCATTCTTATCCTTAAAAGATCTGATTGTTTGTTTCTGTAACCTGGTAAACAGTTGTCAGTGCGCACAACACTAGACTAGTTTAAATCCGTCTGGAAATTAAAAGGTCTAAAAAAGTGATTTTATCAGAAGACTTTTATCAATCAGAGATTTACAACTGCCACAATTTGTTGCAATTTGGGCAGTCAATTTTATATTGATCATCCCTAAAGAAGCAAACTGCTTTATAGTTATCAAAGGTCAAAGGTCATGACTTGTTGTGAAATCTTTGAACAAATTATCCTCAAAAAAACTATGGATTTCTGTACTAGGAATATTTCTCTTTGGAGTCTTTAAAGTAAACACAGTGAACACTTCAAAGATGTCCAACTGTGGCTTAAACCATCATCGGCTGCACCCCAGCTGCCATTCAACACCATCCAGCATCAGACAGCACAACCTCGTCCTTTATGTGCTTCCCTTTGCTTTATGCAAGGTCATCAGTGAAATCATCATAGGACACCTGCCCACTGGCATCTCAGTTTATTCTAACAAGTGTAATGACAAGTTAAGTGAGGCGTCATAGCCCCTCCTCTTAATTTCATTCTAGAGGCGGTTTGTCTACAACTGGTTGCCTCAAAACATGTCTTCGGCTAGATATCGACGTCAGGCAGCATGACGCTTGTGTGTGTGGGATTTGGAGCATAATACTTGTGATTTAGTATTAACAGAATAAGACAGAACAGGTGAAACCAAAAATGAATGGTTAATGTCAAACCAAGTTAGCGTGTTTTAAGGTCAA